CAGTTCAGGCATCTTCTTGCAATGGCCTATTGTAGCAATGCCCCATTACTGAAAATCTCCTGTGACATAGGAAAATTCTATCCTTTTATAAACTGTTCCTGAAATTACTTAGTGAAAGAGAAAGAAAGAGCAGAAACCCTTCAGCTACAACTACAGTAAGTTTAATTATTTCTATATTTTTGTGGGTGGTGGTAGTGGTAGGGCATGAGCTCAGGGCCTTGGTGCTATTCCTAAGCTTTTTCCCTCAAAGGTAGCACTCTACCACTTTGAGCCACAGCTCCATGTCTGGTTTTCTGATGGTTAGAGATAAGAGTCTAATGGACTTTCCTGCCTAGGCTGGCTTTGAACCATAATCCTCAGATTTCAACCTTCTGAGTAGCTTAGACTTCTGGTGTGTGCCACCAGCAGCTGGCTTTCTTTCAAGTATTTTTTTTTCTTTGTGCGTTGTTGTTTGTGTTTGGTTTTTGGTTTAGTTTTGTTTTGTTGTGGGGTTTTTTGTCAGTTGTGGGGCTTGAACTCAGGACCTGGGCTTAGTCCCTGAGCCTCTTTGTGCTCAATGCTAGCACTCTACCACTTGAGCTACAGTACCACTTTCAGTTTTTGAATGGCTAATTAGAGCTAAGAGTCTCAGGGGAACTTTTCTGCCCAGGATAGCTGTAAACCATGATCCTCAGATCTCAGCTTCCTGAGCAATTAGGATTATAGGCATGAGCCACTGGTACCCAGCTTTTTTCAAGTTTATATTTAAGTTCTATTCTATGAGAAAAGTAGTCAAAGGAAAACCAGGATTGGTGCCAATTGAATACCATTTCATTGAAATCTCCATTGTGCCCTAAACCACTGGCTCTAGACATAGAATACAACATTTTCCCAAGAGGAGATGCTCCCAAATTTCCATTCAGAATATTTTCAATGAACTCTTAAGAGTATTGAAACACATGCCAAAGATAGAACTGACCACTGTGCCTAGGATTCAGGATACTGCATTGGTTTCTCACTTTTCTGCATCATTTCCACAGAACACCTGAGTAGACTAAGTAGCGTATAGTGGGAATTCAATGTTTCCGAAAACGGAAATCTGAGAATTTTCACAAGCCCTAGGCTGGAGGTAGAGGGAATAAAAAGAAAGGCAGAAGGAAGAAGACAGGCTTTGGAGCAGAAGATGGTAAGGAGCAGAACTGTTGAGGGGGCCTAAAGAAATCACCAAGTAGCCTGAAATGGAAAAACTGAAGAGAGCCATGAGACTATGGAAGAAGCTCAGTAGAGTGATTTGTACAGGAAATGGACAGGGCCAATCTGGCGTTGCTGCCATTTTATTCAGAAGGTCAGAAATAGATAAAAATATGTAAGGTTCAGAACTGATTTTCTCCTATCAGTCCACAAAGATTAGAGGGGGAGAGTAGAATTGGGACTTAAAACTCATACATCTATTACAACCTTCACAATATAGTTTTTTGCTAGATCTCATCTTTAATACTATAGCTTGATACTTTGAAAATATCCTCAATATAATTGTGGTCCTGAAAACCATGATGCTTACTACCATTATGGCCTTGCAAAAAACCAAATATTTGACCTTCTCTATAGAATTACATCACATCTAACTTTCAGTACAAAATGACTAATTTTTCAAACATGTTTTGAAGTTTATGAACCTTCAGTTAATGAACTTTTGGGATAACATATAAAAAGACTGAAAAAAAGTAAAATGTATGAACAATGAAGTAAACACAGTCATCAAAACATCTTGTCAAAGCTCCAGCCCATATAAATGCAGGGGCTGGGAAGGTGGCTCAGTGGTAGAGTGCTTGCCTTGCATGCCTGAGGCCCTGGGTTCGATTCCTCAGCACCACATAAGCAAAAAGAAAAAAGCATATTGAAAAATGAACTTTACAACTTTGGCTGGGAGGTGGAGGGGGTGGGAGGATAGGGTGGGGGAATGATGGGAAGGGGAAACAAAGGAGGAGGCAACAATGCTTGACAAGAAATGTACTCATTACCTTGCCTATGTAATTGTAACCCCTCTGTACGATAGTTTCACAATAAAAAATAAATAAATCAATTTAAAAAAAAAAGAAATTTCACTCTTCAAAAATGAGAACATCTGGGCTGGGAAGGCGGCTCAGTGATAGAGGGTTTGCCTCACATGTATGAGGCCCTGGGTTCCATTCCTCAGCACCACATAAACAAAAAGCCGGAAGTGGCGCTGTGGCTCAAGTGGTAGAGCGCTAGCCTTGAGCTGAAGAGCTGAGGGACAGCACCCAAGCCCAGAGTTCAGGCCCCACAACCGGACCAAAAAAAAAAAAAAAGAGAACATCTGGTGATATTGGGTCATATTCTTTTTTTTTTTTTTCTTTTTGGGTCCGGTCGTGGGGCCTGAATTCTGGGCTTGGGTGCTGTCCCTCAGCTCTTCAGCTCAAGGCCAGCTCCATACCACTTGAGCCACAGCGCCACTTCCGGCTTTTTTCTTTTTGCTTATGTGGTGCTGAGGAATCGAACCCAGGGCCTCATGCATGCAAGGCAAGCGCTCTACCACTGAGCCACCTTCCCAGCCCCTGGATCATATTCTTGTATGGGGCAGTAGGCAGGAGTGGATCAATACGTGTCCCAGCACTATCCACTTCTGACCTGTTTGAATCTATCATAAAACAGGTTTTGGTTTTGTAACTCCTGACCGTGAAAAACAAAACAGCACAAAATGAAACAAAAAACTAAAAACAAACAAAAAACACCAAGGGATTTTGAGGTTCAACAAAACATTTTTATATTCATCTTTTGTGTGTGTGGATGTGCTGGTATTGAGGCTTGAACTCAGGGCCTCATATTCTTACTCAGCTTTTTATTTTTGCTCATGACTTGTGCTCTGCCATTGAGCCATCCTCTACTTCTGGCTTTTTGCTGGTTAATCATTCATCTACTGAGGGGCATCTGGGTTGGTTCCATATCTTAGCTATGGTAAATAATGCTGCAATAAACATAGTTGTGCTGGTAGCTTTAGTGTGGTGAATATCGTCTTATCCTCAAAATTTATTCTCCACTCAAGATCCAGAGGAACAATTGTACAGCACAAAGCTGATGTCAACTATTATACTTAAACTTTTCAGAGTAAATCCAAACTCATTATCATGACCTATACAATCTGACTCTACCAACAAACTTGATTTTGTTCCAAATCACTGTCCCTTCCCACAACCACTCTCAACTGAGTCCAGACTCTAGCTGCCATCCTCTTCCTGTATCAAGCCAAAAACATCCTAGGTCAAAGGCTTTTCTTCTCACTTGACGTTCCTCTGCCTAAACACAACCCTTCCTCTTCCTCCTCCTCTGTAAAAAGTCTATTTCTATCTCTGTTTCTGTCTCTCCCTTTTTCTTTTCTCTCCATCTTCCCCCCCGCATCTTGTTTTATTTTTTCATAGCATTTATTACTACTTGAAATTACACTTTCTATTTAGTCATTTGTTTATTTCATTCACAAGCCAATAGTATATACTTATATGGTACAATAAGGTATATGGTATTTTTCTAAGAGCTGTAGATATATAGCAGTGAGTAAACAAGCAAAGATCCCAGCCCTCAGAGGGCCTGTATTCTTAGTTATCCTCATTCAAACCTAAACACTAGAGAGTAGACACTCAATCCAACTGTAACCAAAAAATGAATCCCTATAAAGTACCTTAGCCTAAAGTAGATGTTAACACATGTATGCTGAATAGATGAAATGTCCTGCCACCTGCAGTCATCTGTTTCCAAGAAAACTCTTAACTATAGAAATCTTCCTTTCTACCAAATGGGATACAAAGCTGGGATCTACCAAATCCCATTAAGATAAAGCCAACTTCTGTGGCTGTGTTGGGTTCCTACCCCTGGGTCTGCCTATCTTGACTGCCCTTTCATATAACCCCCCAGTGACTTGTTTCATCAGGTCACAAGAACATCTGACCCACATGGTGGGAGCTGAGCAATCAGTCATTATTATTAAACAAGCCGTCTTCTGGCTGAGATCAAGATACATGGGTCATATTCTATCCTTGGCTTATGGCAGTCCTTCCAATCAATAGCTCACCACTATCATTTCAACAACTCTTGTCTCAGCACAGAACACAATGTTATAAAGGACAGGTTTGCCTATTTCAACTTCTATGGAGGTCAGACATTTGGCTGTGCTGAGAAAGTTCATTGCTGAGAACACTTGTAAACTATGAATGACCTGATCTCAAAATAAAAATGAAAGTAGTCATAAGATACAGTTAATTCTTCTTTGAAAAAAATGGAAGCTACAATGGTAGAAACAAAAGGTAGAAAAATGCTTATCTCTTAAAAGGACTACTCTGGAAGCCTTAAAATATAGGTATTTAAAACCCATATTTCTAACATACATACATGTGAAAGTAGTGTTCACATTTTAGTGTATCAGTTGTTAGATGTGCCCTGCTTTAGTTCCTTCTCAGGAAGGAGTTAGGGAATAAAAAGTTAAAAAAAGAATAGCAAAAGCCAAAGGAAGATGCTTCCATTTGGTAGTGATAGGCTAAGAGTAGTAGCTATTTCTTCCTATCCCTGAGATTCCAGCTTAAAAAGGTATGTTAATGAAGTTAATAATCTACACAGGCAAGCCCAACAGTACATGTTATATCTCATATCATATCACATTATATCATATATTTGCCCATAACTTCATTCCCTTTGAAGCATTTTCACATACATTTCCTCCTTTAGTCTTCAAAGCAAGCAACTCTACTTACTTTGAAGACTATAAACCGGATATAAACAGGGCAACATAAACAGGAGGTATAAACAGAGCAACATACTTCTCTGAAACACTGTAAGGTCAATTTTCCTAAGATCCCACCATAAAGACAGCAGAACCTAGCTATACCTAGACACAGTATATGGTCTTTTTTCTATAAGAGGAAAGGAAGCATAGTTCCGGAAAAATCACATTCTACAGGCAACGGCAAATATTTCTCTTTACTGCGACAGAAGTTGGAGGGACACATATTTACCAGTGGTTTAAGGTGGCAGGAAGATGCATTGGGCCTGAAGCTCTAGGCAGAGAGAGGCTTTTACAAATTCTTCCTATGGATGTCAATTCCTGCAATGACAAACAGACAAAATATCTGGTGTGAATAAAAGACACACGATGACCTGACTTCAATAGGGCTTTCTGTACCCAACTGTCAGGCACCCCATTTCAGCTCAAAGTCACCATCCTCCTCTTCTAGCCAACTCTTTTTCCCCACCCTGAGTTTCCCACAGAAGAACAAAACTTTCAGTGGACAAAACAATTAACTGCTAATGATGAGCTGGTGCTAAGTAGCAGCTCCCCTTCATAGACAGGCTTGATCCCTCCAAAAGGCCATTATCTCTACCACTTCCCATTTATTTCTATTTATTTATTGTGGGGCCTGAACTTAGGACCTAAACTTTGTTACTCATGGCTGGCATTCTAGATTTGAGTCACACTTTCAGGACCAGATTTTTGCTAACTGAAGATAAGTCTTGAGGATTTGTCTGCCTAGGCTAGCTTTGAACAATGATCCTCAGATCTCAACCTTCTGAGTAGCTAGGATTATGAGACACCAGCTCGTAGCTCCTGCCTTCTTGATACAAATTAAGAACTATGATTGCCATTTATCATCACCTCTGCTTTATCATTGCTGTTTCTTTGGGGTTTTGTTTGGTGTTTTTGGTGGGGTTTTTTTGTTTGTTTTTTATTTTTTTTGTCGGTCATGGGGCTTGAACTCTGGGCCTGGGCACTGGCCCTAAGCTCTTCAGCTCAAGGCTTGCACTCTACCACTTGAGCCACAGTGCTACTTCCAGTTTTCTGGTAGTTTATTGGAGATGAGTCTCACAGACTTTCCTGCCGGGCTGGCTTTGAACCGAGATCCTCAGATCTCAGCCTCCTGAGTAGCTGGGATTATAGGTGTGAATCAGCAGCGCCTGGTAATAATTGTTCTTCTTTTTGTGGTTGGTCGTGGGGCTTATGCATTATAGTTTTTACAGAACTTAAAATATTTTCCTCTACTAAGATTCCAACAAAAGTAGGAAAACTGAAGAAAAAGGTACCAGGTTCTAAAAAAAAAATAATAAGGTGCATACAGCAACTCAAGCTAATACCCTCACATCTGTAGACATCAGCAATCCCTGAAGAAGGGAAAGAGTCCAATTTTCACAAGTTAAGTATAGTCAGGAATCTGGCTTGCGTAATCCCACAGTTAAAAGCATAAGCACATCTAGAACCTAGGTCTCTCCCCTGCCAATCGAGGACTCTTTTACTACCCATTGAGTAGCAGCTTGAAAATGTATAGCAAAAAATAAACCTAATAATACACACATATACAAAGTCAAAGAAAAACAACTGAAACATCCCATTTTCTTCCTACTAAAATATTTATCATTCCTTTATATATTACCAAAGAATATAATAGCAAATCATCAGGTTCTAAGGGTTTATTTCCCAATAGGTCATTTTTCAATAGTTTCAACTCCAAGAAAGCAAGAAAAAGGAGGGGAGGGAAGGGAAAAGGAGGGGAGGGGAGGGGAGGAGGAAAGGGAGAGGGGAGAGGGAATGGAGGGGGAGGAAGAGAGGGAATGGAGGGGGAGGAGGGAAAGGAGGAGGGGGAAGGGGAGGGGAAGGGGAGAGGAGAGGGGAGGGGAAGAGAGGAGAAAAAAACTCCACAAATGTCATGTACTCATGTACCTATGGTTTCAAAAGTACTTAAATGTCTCAAACTGTCCAGAACATTCTTTATGCTAGAAAATTCTCCCTTGGTATGCATCTTAAATATAGGACTGTAAGTAAGGTCTGTTATGTAAATTAAATAGGTAGGTTTAATTAGGTAGCTGATAAAAAGAACATCACATGGTATTCAGGCCTGAGAGAGAAGTTTATTTATTCCTAACTGCGCTCCCCGCCCCCACCCCTGCCCTTCACTGCCCCCCCCCCTTGGTGGCAACCACATGGCCCAAGCCCAAGCTCAAGGTGCTGGCTCAGGTCCCATCTGGGTTTAAGTGGGAAAGGTCAGAGAGATGGTTCTGGGGCCAGGTGAGGGAAGGTGTGGCACAATCAGATGTGGATGTGACCTCAGGGCCTAGGATCCTCACTGGAGACCTGGACACCAAGCACAGCAGAAGTAAAAAGACACTTCTTCCTAGCATGAAGAGAGGCCAAGTTTGATAGGAAAGGGACCATAGAGTATGGTAGAGAGAAGGCAGAAATCCCAAACCATGGGATTTTGCCAGAAGCAAAAGCAGGGAGGTATGACAGTACCTTCTATTTGTATTATCCAGATCTCCTTTGCATTTATTTTTCTTTTACCAGGACTAGTGCTAGAAATCAGTGCCTCATAGTTGCTCAGTTTGCTTGGCCCACAGCTTGACGCCCACTAGCTGGGCTATATCTCAGCCCAGCTTTTTGCTGGTTATCTTAGAAATGGAGTCTCACAGATTTTTCTGCCCAGGCTGGCTTTCAAACTGCAATCCTCCAGATTTCAGCATCCTGAGAAGCTAATATTACAAGGAACACCCAGCTCATCCGTATCTCTCATTACCTCATATATCTTAAAATTCCTATACCTTCTGCTGAGACTTTTATATAGGTCTGCATTGCACACTCTCAGAAGTACATTTTGCCAAATTTCCATAACCAAAATACAATTCCATTTTTCTGGCAATGCCTATTTATAACCTCCTTGGAATAATCAATGTTGTCCCAGAGCCTTCTATGACCCTCAAAAAATAGTGGTAGAAGTTTTGACCCTTTGGGGGGTTTCTGAGAAAAGAGTAAATAATTATTTTTCTTTGGGCCAGTCATAAGACTACCAAGCCTATTCCCATCACAAGGCTTGGACTTCCGTAGCCAGAAACTACTAAGTATTCAAGCCTCTTCAAGGAGAATGTTCATGAAAAAGATCCCAGGATAGCTATCCATCAAAATTCACAAATGGAATTTTTCTTTTTACATTAAAAAAAGATAAGCCAGTAACCCAAGCTGAGATAGAGTCAAAGGACAGTAGTTCAACAAACAATCCTGAAAGTGCCTAAAAAGGAGTAAAGGCCAAATATGTGACCATGGTTAGGATTCAGAATTCAAGGCCAGTATGAGGAAACAACAAGGCAGAGTCCACCTGAATTCTAGGAAGAACTGCTCTAGATCTATAGCTGGTGAGCAGGTACCAAATTCTGGCTGAAAACAAAAATCACTTGGAGAAGTAAAAACAATTAAAATAAAAATAAACTCCCTAGCATCCAGACCCAATAAAACAAAATCTTTGGTTTGGAGGTCCCCAACATAGTCAGTACAAAAACTTCCTCCCAAGTGATTCTAATGCTAAGCAGGAAAAGTCTATACCTCACCTCAGAAGTTCCAGAACCATTAAGAATCATTCATTGAACAAATCCAGACAAGATCCAAGGATCAGGTTTTAGAGGAGGTATACATTCTTCATGTATTTACTCACTCTTCATCACATTCTGACAGCCACTGCTTAACTTTAAGAAGAAATTATTGTTGTTATAAAGGTGATATACAGAGGGGTTACAGTTGCATAAATCAGGTAAAGAGTACATTTAACTCTTTTTTAAAATTCTAAATAAATACAAGGGCTAGGATGTAGCTTGGTGGCAAAGCACTTGCATAGCAAGTGCAATGTTCTGGATTCAATCCTCCATACCAAAAAGAAAATAATAATAATAATAATGCAGTTAAATAAATACAAAATAATGCTAGCTGCCAGAATAACAATCAGGTACATCGAGAGGGTCTTCATGTTTGCCATAGTCCTTCATGTGCTCAATATCAGCACCCTCAGATAAACTAGGGGGACTGTCTCAGGCCAGGAGCAGATCTACATCTTCAAATACCTATGTAGGCTATCTCTGATAGGACAAAGATCTAGGGACATCTAGTCATCAAGATGGCCTTCGAGGAACAGCTCCAAGGCCCATCAAAAAGCAGGATACTGTAAATCAATGCAGTGAATGGACACCTGCCAAGCCAGTTGAGCACTTCTCCTTCCAGATTTTCACTTTGTGGTCAGGTAACAGCTTGAGCAATCCCAAGCCAAAAGTGGAAAAGTAAATGTGTGGGTCACAATGATGACAGATCAGAGGAAGCTGCTTCTCTGAATGGACCAGCTTGAAGAGATTTCCTCTTTGACCTTACTAGGTACCATCAGATGACTTCAGGGACTCAGCAACAGAGAAACCCATAGTTGCCTAAGGTCAGCCTTCCTGATCGCAAGGCCCAGCAGCAATCCATACTACCTCCAACAGACCAAGGAGTCACCCTGAAGCATGCTGTTAAGCTAAGGATCTCCTACTTGAGCTACAAAGTACACTTAGAAGAGCTGTGTGAGGCCAGGAAGTGGTGGCTCATGCCTGTAATCCTATCTTAGAAGACTGAGTTCTGAGGATCATGGTTCAAAGCCACTCCTGGTAGGAAAGTCCATGAAACTCTTTTATCCAATCAATTGGCAAAGTTTAAAAAGCCAGAAGTGAAGCTCCACTCAAGGTAGAACACCATTCTTGAGCAAAAAGGTCTAGGGGACAGTGCCCAAGCCCTGAGTTCAAACCCTAGTACCAGACAGAAGACACACACACACACACACACACACACACACACAAATATGTGTGGAAAAGGAAATCTAGGGAAAACTCAAGTAATATATCTCCCCTCATTTTTTTAAGAAATGCATTCATTTTCCTTGTAATTGTGTTATTTCCTAGGCTGAAACAAGATATTTCTCTATTGCTCCAAAATATACCATTTTTTTGTTTGATAACCTATCAGAGCCCTTGAGCTCTCACTTCTCTCACTTATCCCAATTTCTACCACATCCCAAAAGTAAAAACCTTGACTTGGCTTTTGTGAAAGTCACGTTAGCCACCCTCATTCCTATCAAAACTCAATCCTGACCATTCAACCTGCTCTGGGTCAACATGGTACACCATGTTAAATGTTCTCACAGCATCATGCATGTCTCCTGCACAGAAAAGATCACTTATATTTCATTTTTCCTCAAACCTGTGGATGGACAAAGATCCATGGTATTTTTGCTTTGCTTCTTTGTCGTTGCTGTTTTTAAGTTTTAA